TGGGGGGTGTGGGGGAGGGATGGAAGAGGCGGTGAGAAGTGGCGAGCCGCGGGCGAGATTGGTAGGAAGAGGTGGCGAAGAAGAAGATCGCGGGTGTGCGGAAAATTAGATTCGCGGGTAGGAAGAGGCGGCGAGGAGGAGGCTGCGCCGTGGGGTTTGGCGACTTTTTTGCAGCTTCGCGAAGAAGAAGAAGATCGCGGGCGAGATTGGTAGGAAGAGGCGGGAGGGCTGGAGGAGGCGGCGAAATTAGATTCGCGGGTAGGAAGAGGCGGCGAGGAGGAGGCTGCACCGTGGGCTTTTTCGCGTGCGGGTGTGCGAGAGGGCGGGACGAGGCGGGAAGAAGATCGCGGGCATTTTCGCGAGGGCAAAACAAGCCTTTTTCAGGCTGCGAAGCTGCGCCGTGGGTAGCAGATGGCTTTCCGCTTCTCTTCCGCTTTAGCTTTCAATTGCCGCGAAGTTACGAGCCAAACGTCAAATTATCGCGATTTAGGGCCGCGAAGCCGCAAAGAAGCGGCCCCAAACGGAGCCTAAGAGGAATTCATAGATTATTTAAAAAGGGGCGATTTAGATATTGATTAGCCACCCAAAATATCTGTAATTTTTTTCGGTTCTTCTTAACCAAATTAATGTGATCTTAAAATTTTAACCGGAAAGAATGACTTAAAAGTAGAATACTAAAAATAGTTAAGTGTTCAGTTTTAATGCTTAAGAAAGATAATCTCTATTAACATTTTAAAAGAAAAAAAAAAGAAAAATTGTCAATCAGATATAGTGATTCTCAGGAGAAAAAGAAAAAGTAAAAGAAGAAAAGAAAAAATAAAAAAATGAACATTCTCTGAGAAAAAGCTTAAGGTTGGCACTATAAAAATTCAAAAAAAAAAAAAGTTGAGGGGGGTTTATTGAGACTTAAGTTATAAAATGAGCTTTGATCCTGTAATTAAAACTATGGTATAAGTTATTTTCAAGGATAAAAATTAAGTGAATTTTGAGTTTGTTAAAATCCACTGAAATTGTGCAAAAGATATTTAAGGTTTGTGAAAGAGATTTTAAATGATACCAATTTAAAGATCTATGAGATTTTCTTAAGAAAAGAAAAAAGAGAATTAGGGGATGGCCAAGTCATTAACAATTAAGGATAATCAAGTCTAAATATTATTTCATTCTTACTTAGATTTGATAAAACTGTTTGAAATGATAGAACTCTGCAGGAGTACCAATTCTATCAAAAATCTCAAATGAGTCATTTGAATACTGGGCAAGTAATATTGTAAGTTTGGGGGATTTGTCATGTGTCAATTCTACGTGATTTTACCTGCATTTTACATAATTTTATTTATTTATCACGAATTTACGCCTGAAAACGTATTTTTTCATGTTGTGCATAATGTAGGAAATTAAATACAAACAAGTTGGAATGAGAAAATCCACTAGAAAAGTGCCCAGAAGCAGCATGACCACGCCTAAAGGCGGCGTGACCACAACCCTTATCGAACATGGCCGGTGACCACGCCGAAAATAGCATGACCGCACCATATGATGCAGCAGAGCAGCGTGACCATGCCGACTCAGGCAGTTCAGCAGCGTGACCACGCTGACTAGCGGGAAACACTTTAGGAAGGAAATTTGATGGCCCAAATCGTGATTTTTGCTATAAAATCAAATCTTAGGGTTTCTCGTAGGGAGTTCTGCATCAGAGAAGATTTGGAGGTTAAAAGAAGAGATTTTTAGTGAGATTTTGAGGAATCTCTTGACGGTTGTCTTCCTCCTTGGGTGAAAACCTTTAAGGGAGAGTTTTTCCATACTTTGTGAGTTGTGAGAGAGTTTGTATGAGAGGGAAATGTGCTATCTTTGTAGAGGAAACAATTTCTTGTAAGTTTTTCATATTTATGTTCCTTGTAATGAATTTTCATGTAATTTTTTTTCCTATAATTTTCTTTGTAATGAGCGGCTAAGCTTTTCTTCGTTTCTCTGTGATGTAGGGAGTAGTGGATTTATCGAGAGTTTTTTGTGATGTTTTTTCTTTAATCTTTTTCTTGTGCTTTCATAGCCTGTATTGTTAGTTAACCTCCAAATTTAATTTACTCTTAGTTTGGTCAATTAGAAAGTTAAAATATTTCGTGAAACTACGACCTCTAATCGTTATGAAATGAAACGAAGGGTTAACCATATATTTCTGAGAGGATAGACATATTTTAATGCAATTCTGCAATCATTCTAGGAGATCAGAAAAATCACAGATTGTCATGGAGATTGAGAAAGTCTCAATTTCATGGATTCTAAGCTTCTTTTGACCTAGACATAGACATAAGAAGTGTTATGTCTCTTATTGACAGTAATCGCATATAAAAACATTTAGAAAAAATTACAATCGTCACGATCCTCGAATCACAAAGGCACGGGCTTCATTTATTTTGAAGGAACTCACAACTACCCTCCTATTTTCAGTTTTTCTTTCAATTGCTAAGTACTCGGTTAGCTACGACCTTAGTGCTTAAAAATCACCTTTTGATAAATGCTAAGCTAGGTTAACTAATTTAGTAAACTAGAGATTTTTCTGCGGAAACAGATATTACACTTTTCCTATGGGATCGATACGTGGTCTTTTTGAACCACATTACTAGTCGACACATGCATTTGTATTGTATGACTTACGTCTCGGTAAGTTTTGACGTGTCACTCTTGTTCACTATGATTGCACCAATCAGAATAAATGAGCGAGCGAGAGAATTCAGAGGTAGCGTTTAGAGACAGAGAAGAAAAAATAAGCAGAAGAAGGACGTAGGGGAAGGAAGAAAGAGAAGAAGAAGGGGAGAGAAGGCTTCGACTTACCTTGTAGTGTGAAGCCGGCGTCATGAATGGAAAGCAGTCGGGAGGATTTTGTGCCCTAGTTGTTCGACAGAGGAACTCAAACTTCTAGCACGAGTGGCTCGTGAGACACTCAACACAGGGAGCTATGATCTACATGAATTAATGGAAGAGGAAATAGAGCTCGTGCGGCTCACAGAGGAGGGAAGAGGTATGTTCGCCGTGTTGTGCTACTCGTAGAGGGAGAAGCACTCACTGGAGAGGGCCTTCTGCATGCGAAGGAGGCTCGAATGGCTGGTTTGAAGTTGGACCGAGAGCTTGGGGAGGAAGAAGAGGTCACAGGAGCATCTCGCGTGCATGAAGTGTTGGACCAATCAATTCGAATGCTTTAGGGCTTGGCAGAGGTTATAAGGTAATATATGAAATTAAATTAATTTAAGTTATTATTTTTCATTCATTTAAAATGAAATTGAGAAACTTTGTATTAAATTGATTTTAATTTTTATTAACAATTGTTTAAGGTATTGGTAAAAAGGCTAAAGCAGAAAAAGAAGGCTTTGCTGTGGGAAAGAAATTGAGTCATACGACTAATTTTAATTACTAAATGTTTTTTTCCTAATTAAGAAGAGTTAGGCAAAATTAAAAACTTTAAGAGCACTAAAATCTAAATTTAAGGCTTAATAAAGTGACTCTTAAATGAAATATGCTAAAAGAAAATTTAGAATGCCTCTAAAACAGAATTATAAAAGTTAATTTATGAAATGTTGATATCTTAATGTATGATATAATTGATATAATATATTTTGTTCCTATAGGTGCACTCAAAAGTTGACTGGCCAAGGAAAGGACAATTTGACTACAGTATTGAGGTGGGTAAATGTTCTTTATTTTACAGTAGTTCTGTTATTTATATTTCTCAGCTTTTATTTTAAATGCAAAAGTATATGTTTTCTTTTAAATTTATATATATGTATATGGGAGTCATACCTGAATGTTTCTGACAGAAGAATGCAACATACCCATGTATGAAAATTGAAATGGAGATAGAAATGAAAATGGAAATGGAAATAGTTACATATATTTTTAAAATATACATTGATACGGCGAATTCCAATAGTGGAATGTGTAAAAAATAAATTAAAAGAAATGAAAATATTTTTTTCACTGTTTTCTTTTATTGCACAGGAATTTTTATTGTTTATTGTAAGTTTATAAAATATTTTAAAATAAGAATTGTTGTAATTTAGAATCATTTATTCACAGAGTAATTTAACTTAACTCGTAAATAGTGTACATTTTTTACAGGAAAGCAAGTTATAGACTAGATGAACTTCAGAGATTCTGTGTACAGTCTCTGAGAAGCGTGGGATGATAGGTATTATAATTCAAGTTTATTTTATGTTAAAGGTAAAAATTTAAATATGAATCAAAATTAATATGAATCAAATGTTGTAAATTAAATTTTATGAATTAGAATGACTCTTTTGTTCTTTGATAGATTTTATTTTATTTGATTATGAAATGAAATTGTTAGATAGGTTTCCTCCGTCCGACCGTCAGTTTTCGCCTTTGTAATTTCAAACCCTTGAGGTTGGGTCGTGACACTATCAATTGTTTTGTGCCTAGTAACAATACATCAATGTCTATCCCTGGGCATAAATGATTGGCTATTAGGCTTTTATTCTATATGGTTAGCATAATTATAAATCTTTCCACTAAAGCTCAAATAAATTTAGCCAATCTAGATCTTGAAAGAGTAGATCTAGCTACTAAAGATTATGGATATGATTTACCAATATGGGTTGTGTAATCAGACCTAGATATCGAGCTATTTGTTAGTAAAGGCCTCACCCACTTACATCATTGTATGACCTGATACTACAATAAATATAATTGCATGATGATCTTTTTATGAATATAAGGTCATCAATCTATATTTCATGCGTTACATGAATACCCAGTTTGGATTTTAGAATTTACATAAGGGTTGTTTGCTAGTATGTATATTTTATACTGTTGTGTAAAAAATACATTGCATTGGTTGGATGTAATATGAATTCAGTGAAATGATTTGTTTTATTTGGTTTAATATGCGTAACATTCATTGGCTAGTATTGCAGGTACTGAGCTATCAACAAAAGCGGAATGGCAATTTTTGCCTAAGGAAGGGGAAGATTGATATTAAGTGGAGGTTATCCATTTTGCTTTGTTTCCGAATAGTTTCAGATCTCCATGCTATTTATTTTAAAAAACTTTGATTTTGCGTCCATCTTTTACTCAAAAATACTTGATGTTCTTTACTTCACATGATTTCCTCTATTGTCGGCTACATGAGCTCGAGGGAAGGCAAACTAAATCATTGATGTAGCTCATCATCGTATAGCTAAATAAACCCTTTCCATGTCGATTCTCCATGGCCCAAGGTTCAAAGTCAAAGCTTCACCATGTCGTCTATGTCAATCAGGAATGACGAAAATTAGGCAGCTAAATTAGAAGTTTTCTATAATTAGGAGCTTGCTTATTTTCAATATCTTTATTCTGATATATTTCCCTTTTAGTTGAATATTTAAATTGGGAATATGTATTATTAAGTTTTACCTATTAAGTTACCTAAAATAGATTATATGCACTTTATTTTGTATCTAAAATAGATTGTAAGATTGTTATTTAATGGAATGAAAGCAAAGCGAAAAGGCAATTCAGCCTATTCAGATTTCAACCTATTTTTTCTCAAAACTTTGACATGGTATCAGAGCAAAAAATTTTGCCCTAACTACTGGTAATCGTTGAAGTACCGTCAAAACTCCCTTTTCACCGGTTTTCTTGTGGGAAGGGAGGAACTATTTATGCTCCTTCGATTCACCTTCTACCGCAGAAAGGAAGGAACTATTTCTCCGCCTTCGATTCGCCTTTTATCGGTTCGTCTCGGGCTTCGGTTATAGATTTGTGTGTTCCTCTGTATGGGCGACAATAGCACAATGTTGATGAACACAGCGGTTCTGGTGACGTGCATACGCAATTTTCACCGTAATCGTGGTCCGGTCTTAGGGATACTCAAGGGCTATGTGGGACTCAACACCGCCATCTTCACCGATCTCTGCTCTGCTCTTTTTACGGATGACCCGACCTCTTTCATCCTCATGCTAGCCGTTGTACCTATTGTTATCTGCACCATCGCTATGGTCTTCCTCTGTGAGACATCGTCTAGAACTCCGACGCGGAATCATCTCCGTCGTCAATTTCAATCCTGTTATCACAGCACTCCATCGCCTTCTTCCTTTGATTCGACGAGTTCCAGACGAAGCCAACCGTCGCTGCGGATGGTGTGCTGACTCTCTTGGATCTTCTCCGTTGTTTTCATCGTTCTTCTCGCAGCTTCGACTATCATGCCGACGTTCCTCTGGTTCAAGGCCGATCATCCTCACTGCGAGCGATTAATTCAGACCTGGAGGTGGCTGAGAGTCAGATTCAAGCGCCGCTCCTCACTGGCAGCAACACGAAAAAAAAAATACCGACGGAACTGACAGTGACCGACGATTGGGGAAAGCGGATTCAGAAGAGACTAAGAGACCGGAGATCGGAGAGGATCATATTATATGGGAAGCTATGAGGAAATTGGAGTTTTGAGCATTGTTCGTCTCGTTTCTCTGCGGTGTGGGAACGGGGATGGCTGTAATGAACAATATGGTCAGATGGGTCTCTCCATGGGCTACTCCAACGCCTCCATCTTCGTCTCTCTCGTCAGCATCTGGGGCTTCTTTGACACTCTTGAGCTCTCTCGAGCTTCGACACTCTCAGGCTTCGGCCTCTCGGGCTTCGACACTCTCAGGCTTCGACCTTTCGAGCTTCGACACTTTCGGGCTTCGCCAATTTCGTGCTTCGACACTTTCAGGCTTCGACACTTTCGAGTTTCGACATTTTTAGGTTTCAGCGCTCTCGGACTTCAGCTCTCTTGGGCTTCGACACTCTCAGGCTTCGGCCTTTTGGGCTTGGGCACTCTTGGGCTTCGACCCTCTTGGGCTTCGGCACTCTCAGGCTTCGGTCTTTCGGGCTTCGGTATTTTCAGGCTCCAGCACTTTCAAGCTTCGGGCTTCGATACTTTTGGGCTTCTGCACTTTTGGGCTTCTGCATTCTTAGGCTTCGGCATTCTGAGTCTTCGGCACTTTTAGGCTTCGACACTCTTAGGCTTCGACATCTTCAGGCTTCGGCACTCTAAGGTTTCGACATTCACAGCTTGAGGATTTTTTGTCCCGGCAATATTATCAGTTTCCTGTTGGAAAATTGATGCTTCTTGATCGTCAGCATCAATTTAAGGGGGGATGTCATCAGGAAGGACGGAAATCAGACAGCTAAATTAGGAGTTTTTTATAATTAGGATCTTCCTTATTTTCAATATTTTTATTCTGATATATTTTCCTTTCAGCTGATATTTAGATTAGAAATATGTATTATTAAGTTATCTAAAATAGATTATATGCACTTTATTTTGTACCTAAAATAGATTGTAAGATTATTATTTAATAGAATGAAAGCAAAGGGAAAAGACAATTGAGCCTATTCAGATTTCAACCTATTTTTCTCAAAACTTTGAGAGTCTACCTCACTTTCATTATTTTCTCCCTCAAGCTGCTCTTAGTTTCACATAACATCATCCATATAAGTATATTCTGAGAAAAACAAATTTCTTCTCCGGCTCATATAATTTTCCCATCTGTTTTAGTCTACGAATGCTATTGTTGTCTCTTTTGTCTAGGCGGAAGGACAATGATGACCTTCTCTCTATGTGCTTCCTGCTTTCATAAGGAAGATCAACAAGTGCAGTTCACCTTCCATGCCTTGCTATTTGTCTATTGCTCATAGAATAAGAATTTCACCTGATTTTAATAATTTTTTTGTAGGCAAAGTAGGTCTTTTAAGATATTTTAAATTGCTTACAATTTAACTTTACCTGTACTTTTTTCTTCATACTATATGCCAAAAAAATCGAAACGCCAGGGATCACCTATAAATGTAAGATAAATTTTTTTCATCATAATACTTTTTATTTTACACTTCTAATACTTACAAATAAATAGCCTCTTAGGTTGAACGTTGTGACATTTTTCATGCAAAGGATATAGGATCAAATTTTGATCTCCAATGGTTTTGTTGCAAGTCCTTTTGCTGGGCATCTTACAGGCCGGCATAAGAAAACCTCAAGCATCCTCATTCTATTAGATTTAGAGAAGCCTTCATCCTGGGTGTTACTCAATTTGGGCAAATATCTCTAGTTGCAGACTTGTAATGCCACTCATGTCTGCCATTAAGGCATGTCCTTTATGATATTGTTTGTGATTTTATTTTGCATTTTTTCTGGAGTTGTTGAGCAGTAACTCATTTCTCCTTTTGGTTTTTTGGGTCACGTACCTACGTTTTATTGCTAGTTCCCCCTTCAAGCAACTCGTTAAGGACTTAAGAACCCTACAACTTGCCCTCTTTTCTCAAGCTAGGATACCTCATTGTGTATAACGTCAAAATTTTATCTTTTGCCCAACATATTGAATTATAACAAGGGGTGTAAACGAGTCGAGCTTGACCAAGCCTAGTGTTTGGTCGTGTTCAATTCATTCAATTTTTTTTTTATTCAAAATAATTTCACATTCGAAATAGCTCATGAAGATAATGTTCGTGTTCTATTTGATTTAAATTTGGTTGTTCGTTTTGACTTTTTTTTGGCTCAAATTAATTTGAATGATTCAAAAAAATAATAGAACTTAACATTTTATAAATGCATCATAAAAATTAATATAAAAATGTTATAATAATATTATTTATTCAATTATTTAATTTTTTTTTTTGGTTAAAACTAGCCTAATACAATTTATTTTTTGCTATTGTCGGTTTGTTTCGACAATAGCAGCCGCATCAACAACGTAACAAGCCGTTATCCCACTAAGTGGGGTCGGCTACATGAATCCTTTTTCTCTATCGTGTCCTATTGAGTGTCATATTTTCATTTAATTCTAATAAATTAAGAACATTTTTTTATACCAAATTTATTTGTGTTCAGCTCACTTGCTTTGCGAACGAAACAAACACGACCTACTTAATGAGTCAAACATGAGTTATTTGCGAACAATGAGATTTTTTTATGGCCTTAATTGGAAAATGTTAGATCTCTCTAATGATCCAAATTCATCTAAAGTTTAAAGATTTGGTTGTTGTTATCTATTGCTTGCATGACTCATTTGAGTCATAATTTAATGGGTTTCTTTAATGATTTGGGATCATCCAATATTTCAAAGTATAAGTCCCGACATTCATCTGTTAGTCTTTTTCTTATGGGTTTCTCACTTAATTATCCCCTTAACTATTGTTAAATTGTACTATC